CGCGGGCCAGATCTCCGTGTGTCGATCCAGCCACTGATCGACTATATAAATATCGTGGTAGTGGTGTACCTGGTTCTCTTTGTCTAGTATTCACACCTTTTACTAATGTTTCTAATGAAAATGGGACATTTAAAGCCAACTACAAAAATCATTTTAAATTAATTGAAATAATCTGAAATTAAACTTAATTTAAATACAGATATTTATATAAATAATAATAAATATACCAAAGCATTTATTGCAGCAGTAGCACCACATGCAGATGTTCCTATTTGAGTTACTTGTTTTACAGTAGCTTCTTGTTCACTCCATAACATAACTTTCTCAATTGGTAAAAGGCCATCTAAACGATCGTTAGATAATTCGTTTTCCTATATATATATATGTATATATATATTAATAAATAAATTATCATAGCTATATGTAATATATAATAATATATCAAATTATAAGCTATATTAACTAGATTTGAGTCACCACTCTGATTAAATGCAGCTTGTTTATTGAGCATCAATTTCTTTGCCATCATACGATGATAAAGAGTCGAACTGAGATTCACTCTCCTAGAATTTAAATTCGAGTTTTCTGGAATGGAAGCTGATGAAGATTCAACCCATAATTCTGCGTCTGAATCTCTATTGTCACCCGGTGAAATAAGATCGCCGCTTGTATTGTGATATCCATATGATTCTCGTAAAGGACATCTTGTATTACGATACATTTTACTAGTTTCCCATTTTCCTATAAATTAATAACTCAATATAATATTTTAAATGAATAATATATTATTTCAATACTACAAAATAACAAAAATGATATACCAATTGCATTACTAGTACTTGGCATCCATGGAGAAGGATAATTTGGTTTTATACTTGATTCAGGATTGTATGGATTACTGCTGGAACATTGCTGAATTTCTGCATTATTCACATTTTGTACACTTTGCTTTGAGTTTTGAGATGTAGTTGCAATTCCTTGTTTAGTCACAACTTTACCACTACTTAAGTCATTTAATACTGGATCAGGATCTACATTGTCTAATGCTATATTCTGTATATCTTCATTAATAGAGGCCAAATCACTGTCTCCTGTATCCTATATTTTAAAATATTAAAATAATAAATATATGTGAATATATATTTTATCATCACAATTCAATACCTGCTCACAAGAAGGCCCAGGATCAAAATCCATTTCTAAAAAATCCATTTCTGGACTTGATCTACCACTGTGGCATTGTTCTTCCTCTTCATGTTCTTCCACTTGTCCTTGATTTATTTCTTCTTTTTGAATCAAATGAACCGCATCATCATTTCCCTTATATGTATAAATACAATAATCTTCCCCATCTGACATATCACCTTCATTTCCAGAACTTGAATCTCTCCTTTCATTTTGTTCTCTTTGTGTATTCTAAAATCATATGAGTTAATGATAAAATTAAATTTTTTATATTAATATGTTACAATAAAATAATGAAAGAACTTACTTTTTGCAATCCACTTGGTCCTGCTATTTCCCTATTTCCATTAATATTAGGTCTCAAAAAACAACATGTTCCTTGACTTGTTGAACCTATACTACCTCCTATATTATTTAACAAGCTATTAGTTCTATAGGACCTTGATACCCAGACACTGTCTACTTCAGGACTAGAGTCTGAACTGCATGATACTTTTGATGGACATTTTTCAATTCCAGAAATATAATCTACATTATTTTTCATATCAATATCTTCATTTGGTTTAATTGTTGTTAAATTTGACTGTATTGTGGATGAAACTGATGCTGAATTATTTAAATATAAAGTAGCACTTGATGTAGTACCAGAATTATAAGTTCCTGATATACTATAAGTATGATTCATATGCATATTATTTTGACTTGAAGGTAAATTTAAATTCATAGGAGGTTTAGGCAAATTCAAAGCACTTGTGCTCATTACAGTCTTATGCTTCAATTGACTTGTAACATTAGTATTTACAGTCTGAGATTTAATGTTGTTAGCATTTAAAAATATGGGAGATACACTTGCATTTAATATGTCTTGATTTGTATCTTGGTCCATAGTATTATTAAAACTGGTACATGTAGTATCTTCTGTAGATTTTTTACCATTAGCGAATGCAATTGAAGCTTTTGAAGACAAATGATTCTTGGCACCATTATCATTCAATTTATTACTTAATTTTATTTGATCTCCATTTAATTTACTTTCAAGTTGTATAATTTTAGTTGACTGTTCAATTGATTTATTGCTATTTTTTTTTAAATTTTCTTCTAATCTTGTACCATTTTTATTTTGACTGTTACTTGCACCTTCTTCAGAATTCATATTATTTTTAAGATGATAGCACCAAATTACCTATTAAAAAAACAAAGTAAAATAATTTCACTATTTTACTTTTAATTATGAATATATTATATTAGTATGTAATTTTTAATTACTTTTTTTATTAATTACAGTCGAAAAAATGTTTTACATACAAGTATTATAACTGTCATATAAAAGTATGTATGATAAAAATGTGTTAGTAGTATATAAGTAGTATTTACCTTCGAATTATTTTTCAACACGATTATACAGAGTTTAACATTAGTTTCTTTCTAAACAAGTTTAGATTACAAAAAACTAAACGTGTCAGTCTTCGATTAATAAAATTATCAACAATTAAAAAAATTGCTGTCTTGTGAGTATGCTGTTCTGTCAAGTGAAAAGAATGAAAGGCCTCACTGCCTCACTAACATTTTCTCTCATATAAGTTCCGGAAGTCAGCTGATTAGTAGAAACAAATGTAGTTACACACAAGTCTGATATTTTTACACGTTTCTTTTTCAACAAACCTTTTTAATCATTCATAATAATATATAGTAATTCACATTAAGTTTTATTAACATAAACACAAACAACATTGAGAAAAATTCTCTTAGTTCTTTTTCACAATAAGATAATCAAACATTTACAAAATATCATTATACGCGTTACGTTATACATTTATTATTTGTCTGAAAGGAAATACTATCTAGAGTTTCTTTTAAATTAGGAATCATCATAGTATAGTGTACAAATAATGTATTCTTACATTTCAAGGAAAATATCAACCAATCGTAAAGATTCGTATAGCTATTTATGCACTTAGCTATAATAAATCATATATTTATGATATATATAGTATAATCAATGTAATTTATATATAAATATTTAAATACTATGACTAAATTATATAATTAATAATATGTTTCATGAAAAAATTCAATAAAAAATTGCAATGTTATGATTTTGAAACATTAGATATATTTACTGTACATTATCTAGAAATTTAGATAACGTCAAAGGAATGAATATAAAAAATTCAAGATCGTTAGTTTCTAGAATCACATTGTTTTGTTTTGATCAAGAACAAATTCAATCATTTCTTATTTACAATTATTTAGATTTTAAATATTATAAGATTATTTTATAGAAGACTAAAGGAAATAAAATTTTCTTATATATAAAAATTTTGTATTCAGATTTTAAACGAGCTGAATGAATGAATCAGTTATGATTCTATACATAAATAAATAAAATATTATTGAATTTTTGTGTACGTGTGAATCAATTCAATTAATTAAACAATATTCATAATGAATATTGTTCGAATTAATTCGAGAAATGTGATTTTTATTCTTCTGGCGATTTTTTCGACTACTGTCAAACAGGCTCATATGGGTTATGGTAAATTATATATTAAGTTCGTTTAAATATTTACACAAAATATTTCTAATGATACTTTGATTACAGAGACTGCAATTAAATATGCACAAAGAGAAGCTAATGTAAACTCTACACCAGCATATAGTAGTACAAAGGTAGTAGTATAAAAATTAAATTGTTTTTATAAAATAACAATATTTTTATTCAAGAAAAAATATATTTAAATAATTATATATAAATAATAATTAATATAAATTAAATAATTATAATATCAATAGGAAGAAATTTCAAGATTATGTCCAAGTGGTATTACTTGTTCACAATTAAGTGGAGATTGTATAAAATGTAATTTAGATCCTAATTGTGTATATGGAGCTGTATATGTTGCTAATTGTTCTGTTCTAGAACATATTGATTGTGTTGTAAGTTATACAATATTATATATTATTATACATGTCATATATTTTTATATTATTTAATATATTAAATTTCAAGGGTGAGCAATCTTTTCAAAAGAAATATATATGTCGTTACTGTTATCAAACAGAACATTGGGAGCATGAATGCCATCAAAAAAATTCTTGTAGTTCTGTTGCTTCTCCACGACAATATTATAGAACAAATTGTACAGTAAATGGTGATATATTATGTCTAGGAAGACGTAAATTTATGAAAAATTTATTATGCAATTGGACTGTGGGATATCGTTGGTCTACTGCTTTAATTTTAAGCATCACATTAGGAGGCTTTGGAGCTGATCGGTATATTATATATTTGGTGAATTGAATGTTGAATAAAAATGATTCATATTTTAAATATATATTACAGATTCTATTTGGGTCATTGGCAAGAAGGAATTGGTAAATTGTTTAGTTTTGGAGGACTTGGAGTATGGACATTAATTGATGTAATGCTTATTTCTATGAGATATTTAGGTCCAGCAGATGGATCATTATATATTTAAATAGATTTAAAAACAATCATATTGTATATAAAAAAAGGAGAAAAATTTATAATTTCAACATTAGTTTTATATATATATATATTAGTTATTCAGTCAAATAGTAGTATTTAAATAAAATATGAGAATTTTATTTATCACTTTTCAAAGAACTGAATTGTAATGTGATATGTACATACATAAATCATTAAATAGAGACTTTCATAATCATAAAATGTTTATTATTATATAATGTTTTATTTAATTTTATTATCTAATTATCCTTTTTAAATAATTAATATTTCACCAAATTATAAATAATTTTTCAATTACTCATATTTAATTAATTTAATTTATATAATAAATTTTATTGTATCTTCTATTGTTTAATAATTAATATATAATTTTTAATTTTATTTATTTTTGTAATATTAAAGATAAGATTTTATTTACTCAACTCCCCTCTAGCGGAATTATTCATAAATATTGTACGACGTTACTCAGTCAGTGTGTCTTATAAAACTGTGAAAGTAAATAGAGTTTTGATTAAATTCGATTGTGTGAATGACAAAAGGACAAATATTTAACAATGTATGTATAATAAAGAAACTATCTTATTTTTTATATATCATTATAAATTTTGTATCTTATAAATTCACTATATAACAATATATTTATCGAATGTTTTGTGTTAACCTTAAAATAAAATGTCTAATTACAGGAAGGACAAAAGTTTATCAAAACTCGAAAGCATGGCAGATGTACGAGATATATTAGACATCGAGGTACCTACTACTAGCGAGCTTACAAAAGAATCAATTATAGGCAGTGATAAAAAAAATCGTAAAAAATATGAATATAAAGTGCCAAAGAGACCAGAAGGCATGCATCGTGAAGTCTTTGCATTGCTCTGTAAAGATAATAATGATGTACCACCGTTATTTCCAACGGATACTGCAAAAGGATACAAACAAGTTAGAGCTAAACTTGGTATGAAAAAAGTTAGACCATGGAAATGGACACCATTCACTAATCCGGCTAGAACAGATGGTGCTGTTTTTCACCATTGGAGACGAGTTGCAGATGCTGGAAAAGAATATCCTTTTGCTAAGTTTAATAAAAAGGTTCCTATTCCAACATATACCAATGCAGAATATGTTCAGCATTTGGTTACAAATGGTTGGACAAGAGCAGAAACCGATCATTTGTTTGATTTGTGTAGGAGGTTCGATCTAAGGTTTATCATAATCAAAGATAGATGGGATTGCACAAAATTTCCTGCAAGATCTGTAGAAGATTTAAAAGAAAGGTAGATAATTATTTCAAACTTTTCATTTTCTATTTTTTGTATATTTGTATATTTTATTGTTTAGATATTATCAAGTATGTGCAGCTTTGACAAAAGCAAAATCTCACACTGATAAAGTTTATATATTTGATGCTGAACACGAAAAACGTAGGAAAGAGCAGTTAAAAAAATTATTTGAAAGAACACCAGAACAGGTAGAAGAAGAGCAAATGTTATTAACTGAATTAAGAAAAATTGAACAAAGAAAGAAGGAGAGAGATAGAAAAACTCAAGATTTGCAAAAATTAATAACAGCTGCTGATCATCAAGCTGATCCAAGAAAGAATGAAAGAAAACCAGCAAAGAAGACTGGAGCTTCTGCTCGAAATAGACCAAACAAAGCAGATACCTCTCATGTAATAATCATAATTATATTTTTGTATTATATTAGAGATATTGAATTATATATATTGAATTATATAATTTTGCAAAAATGTATTAATATAAATTAAAATTTTTAGACAGTGGAATCAGCTGGAATTAAATTTCCAGATTTTAAAAATAGCGGTGTTTCTCTTCGTTCTCAACGAATAAAGTTGCCGAGTAGTTTAGGTCAAAAAAAAATGAAGGGTATTGAACAAATGCTCAACGAACTACGAATAGGTATAATCGTCAAATATGCAATTTATTTTTTATTTCATTTTTCTTGATTTGATTTTATATATACGATTTTCTTAAAGAATTAAATCCACCACCTACTGAGCAAATATGTCAACAATTTAATGAATTAAGAAGTGATATCGTTTTGCACTACGAACTTCGAAGTGCATTATCGACATGCGATTATGAATTGCAATCATTGAGGCATCAATATGAAGCTTTAGCACCTGGAAAGGTACATTATTTAAATAATAAATTTCAATTTTTCTAAGAAATAATACAAATGTAATCAAATTTTCAGACATTAACGATACCACCTGCCTTGTTACCAAAAACAGAACCTGAAGTTAAAGCAGACATAATAGATGTGGTAGGTTCACCCAGTATGCCATCTATTACCCATTAATTTTTTTAAACAAATTGCCAAAAATTGTAAATAATAATTTCTTATATCGAAATGCGATATTTGGATTACCGAGTTCGTTTATTTCATTCTCCTGTATAATTTTTTTATTTTTTAGTAGATAACAATTAAAAATAATTTAACAAAATATTGAAATCATTGAATAGAAATTTTTCTTCCTTTCCCATAATTTCGTCATTATAAGGTGTACAGATAACAAACAATAATAAAATAATTGGAACGAGACGTTAATTACTTATATATCTGTGTATTTTATATTGTCGACAAAAAGTAACAATGTACGGTCAAACCGTATAATTTATCTACAACAATCTACAATAGATTACAATATGTTGTTTTGTTTTTGTTGAGGGTTAGAGGGAGGCAGGAATATTAGAATAACGGGAATTGGATTTTTTTTCGGAAGGAACGGGAAATCAGGTTAAAAGTGTGGAGGAAAGATAGTCGATGCAGGCCTTTCTTCGTTCGTGCTCCGCGCGCGCGCGCGCGCGTTAATCGCGATACAGTTGACTGTTTTAATTCTATATTAAATTACTCGATAGCTCTAGCCGTACTTGGTACGGAATAATGCATATATATCTGGTTCTTAATGATCGATAACCCACCGCCCGACTTTTCCATCTACGCCGTGCCGTGAGGACTCTCTCGGTCAAAGTTAAGTATAAGGAAAAATTGGGCACAACGTTGGCTGGCATCGTTGACCCGCATATCCGATCCATTGTTCGCGAATCGTGCATCCTCTCGTCTCTCTTTCTCTCTTTTTTCTCTTTTTCAATTCATGAGCTGACGCTTCGATCGCGGTCATCCTGATAACAAGATGTCTTTTATTTTTTAAGCAATGTAATACATTTTATATTGTAGAATATTATTTATTCTTTTTTCAATTTAAACTAATACTCAAGCGGGTTGATCGAAATTGCATCCTCAATTTAATTTTTTCCAATATTCTTGATTTATTTTTGGAAAATAATTTTTTTTTCAACAATTATAACTCGACCAATTGGAAAGCGAAATAAAAGAATATATATGTTCATCAATTTTTCATCGTCCAATTTGTACGTGAGAAACAAAGTGAAATGAATTTTAAAAAGATCAAAATACGAAGTGTTAAATTTTGTTCAATTGACAAGGAAAATGACATAATCGTAGCGATGGAACTTTACCAATGGAAAGCAACTTTAAAGCTTTCAAAAAAATTCTAAAGATAAATGCATCTTTGCGTGATAGCATTTCTCTGGAGAAATGCATACTCTTATAGGATGGTGCCTCAAACGAATATTATAATAGAATATCGAACATTTTGAAGATCGTCCCAACATAAAATGAAACAACAATATTTTAATTCCTTGTAATTCTTTTTCAAGGAAAAATCTTTAATTCTCAAGTGAGACAAATAGAAGCGAGGGATGATAAACGATTGAACGCGTCAACCTATTTTTTATCGCATTTTCAATAATATTTTTCTATTTTTGTAATATTTCCACTGGTTTATTAATCGACTCGCACATTTTTTCATGACGAGACAAGCACGATCTTTGGTTCTGGCACAGCAAACGGGTTGGGTGGAAAGAGAGAAAAAAGTTGAGCCACGAATAAAGGAACACCGCGGCTGGCAAAACACGTGTAAAACGCGTAATACGTGTCTATATGTATATACACACTGCATATACATGTATACATATATACACATATCTGTAGCAATAATAGTAATAATTATAATAATCGTAGCGATAATAATAATAACAATAATAATGAATACGAACAACTTGTAATGTACAGAGTGTATGTGTACAACGAAAGTTCCCTTCGCCTTTTCTTTCAAGTCGTCTTTCTTTGTTTCCACTTTTCTTTAATGTATTTTTTCTTTCTGTGCTTGATATTTTATTTTATTTTATTTTATTATTCTTTTCCATTTTATACAACGCGAAACCGTTCACAGGGTTATTGATTCGACAACGTTCGAGCGATCCTGCAACTGACCGGAGAAGAGATTTGTCTCGTTATT